GTGTGTGAATCACTTGTGTATTTATAGTGTGTGTGTGTTATAAAGGTTTGTTAAATTTAAAGTGACCGTGGAAATTATTTGTATTACAAAGTTGTATCGAGAAAGAATAAACTAGTTTTAATTAAGAAAGGACTTGTATCGCTGAAGTTCCTCTGAAAGAATTTAGACCGGATATTAACAAACAAACAGATACGTAGCAATACATACTTAACTTGGATAAATTATATTAAAGAATTTATTGACACATCGAAATGAAAAATTTTTTCTAGTTTATTTTTATTCTATTATAACACGGTCTTTTCTTGTTCGGCGAAAGACGTCTAGTCGAAACGCCACACAGATTAAACAAGAAAAAGTTAGTTAGTATATAGTTATGTTTAACATAATTTTGCAATTTTTAAATAAATGGACGGAGGTTGGGTGTCTTGTAGAAATACTGAGTGGTTTATTTCTACTCTAAGAATTTTTTGCCTTTTTTACATCGCATAATATCAAAAAGGTTGGAGGCTGCAGTGTTTTACATTGTATACTTTTAAGGTGGTTTAATTTTACTTCTAATTACATCTAAATATTAAGAGTAACTGCCTTCCTACAACTACAAACAGCAAATGGCAGTAAGAGTTGAGACTTTGTGGGTTCAAGCCAGGAACGTCGAGAGCCAGCAAGGGCCCCGGGGCAAACATCCTCGCCGGCTCCCCTTTCTCTCTCTCTCTCTTTTAATATTTTTAAGAATTTATTAAAAATAAGATCCTAAATTAGGACAGCAACGAGCTCATAAACCAGATAAAATCATAGCAGCTCAGAGTATAAGCGTAAAAACGTTAATAAAGTAACAACAAATATCTATTAAATCTATAAAGTAACAAATACATATTAATTATTACTCAAATTATTATTTCAGTCGTTCTTGATGTATCAAGCGTCTATATGCAAAGAAAAGCCAAAAACTATGGTTTTTATCATTAAATGAAGATATAGCCTAAAGATGCTTTGCTGACTTTACGGCATAACCAGGTTTCATTCGCCCGGGCCCCTGGGCAGTTTCCCCCTTCGCTTCCCCCACCCCTGTCGGCGGACCTGGTTCAAGCACTCAACTCCTAATCCTTAACTGAATCTTTTTAGTTGCTGGATAGTTAGACATCGGTGTGTGGATCTTGTTTAATAGATGGAATATCCACACTGTCTTTGGGTGCTTTGGCCACAGACATTGTTCGTTATGACTTAAAGATGACTACGAGGACTGGTAATAGATGAATTCCTAAAAATGAAATAACAGACCTTGTGTATGATATCAAGTTATAAAACATATCAAGTACATTTTAGTGTAAATTTTGATATCCCTTACAATGTAATGAACGATTTTGTCTTTGTTGCTTGTAGTTCCTGAAACACTGGATATCAAAGGCCGCCTTGCTACTACTGTTGTAAGATATTGCGACCTTATAATACATTGAACTATTTTGTCTTTGTTGTTTACAGTTTCTGAAACACTGAATATCAAAGCCCGTTTCCTATTTTTGTTAGATATTGCGGCCATACAATACAATGAACGATTTTTGTCTTTGTTGTTTGTAGTTCCTGAAACACTGGATATCAAAGACCGCCTTGCTACTGTTGTTAGATATTATTTCGCTGGTGAGCGCAATAAAATGTGAAACCTGTACCTATGGAGTGTTGGCAAACATTATGTGTTGTCTTCTGCTTGAAAAATGCTGTGATAAAGTGAGCATATCAGAACAGGACTTTCCAACGTAAGTGTGGCACAGATTAGCTGTAATTATAGAACAGGGCTTTCCAACGTAAGTGTGGCATAGATTAGCTGTAATTGTAGAACAGGACTTTCCAACGTAAGTGTGGCACAGATTAGCTGTAATTGTAGAACAGGACTTTCCAACGTAAATGTGGCACAGATTAGCTGTAATTGTAGAACAGGACTTTCCAACGTAAATGTGGCACAGATTAGCTGTAATTGTAGAACAGGACTTTCCAACGTAAGTGTGGCACAGATTAGCTGTAATGATAGAACAAAACTTTCCAACGTAAGTGTGGCACAGATTAGCTGTAATGATAGAACAGAACTTTCCAACATATGTGTGTCATAGCTTAGTTGTAATTATAGAACAGGATTTTCCAACGTAAGTGTGGCACAGATTTGCTGTAATTGTAGAACAGGATTTTCCAACGTAAGAGTGGCACAGATTAGCTGTAATTATAGAACAGGACTTTCCAACGTAAGTGTGGCACAGATTAGCTGTAATGATAGAACAAAACTTTCCGAACTATATATTAACGAAGTTACACCAAATTATAGAACAGGACTTTCCAACTTACATGATAAACAAGTTACGTGTAATTATAGCTAAACTATAATCTGACAAAGTTACATGTAAATAAAAACAGGATTTACCAAACTATACTATTGCCAAATTCCCTGTAAACACGTATAAATTATGTTATACGGTATGTTTAAATCCCCCCCCAATTTGATGATATAGCACCAGTCCACAATAATGTTGTGGAATTTGTTTACACAAGTGTCATTTTGACCTTTGACACACGACGTTCAAAAGTTAATCAGGTATATATAGCTTTGTATGTAGTACGTGTTTATAATATTCTGTATTGAAACATGGAGCTAAGTGAAAGTTCTTATGGACTTTTCCAACCCGGCCTGTAGTTATTTATATAAATGGACTTTTCCAACCGGCCTGTAGTTATTTATATAAATGGACCTTTCCAACCGGACCTACAGTTATTTATATAAATGGACCTTTCCAATCAGACCTACAGTTAATTATATAAATGGACTTTTCCAACCCGGCCTGTAGTTATTTATATAAATGGACCTTTCCAACCAGACCTACAGTTAATTATATAAATGGACCTTTCCAACCGGACCCACAGTTAATTATATAAATTTAGTTTGCTATATACATATATCGTAATAAATTGTTCGTTCTATAGAAGAATCAGAATATATAAAAAAAATCATCTGTACTCTAAACAACAGGAAGTGAATGACTTATTTACACTATTTTGACGTTTTTAGTTTCTCTTTTCAAACCTTTTCTATAACTTACTTTCAATCGACTGCTCATAAGAAAAATTGAAGTGAAGAAAGAAAACAGAGCACGAATTTCAGAAAGACAATTTTGCTAATTGGTCAAGTTAAAGAAATTTCAATGCTTAGCAAAAATAGACTAGGAACTGAATTTGTAACGAAGAGACTGATTTAGGGAGGGGGGGGAGAATTAAGAAAACGATTGAGTGGGCAAAATATTGAACCATGTGTGAAACCAATGACACGGAAGGCAAGACCACATTTGTAATCTCTTGACAGGGACAAGAAAGAGAGAAAGAAAAGGTCATGTGACATCAAAATGACGCCGGCTTTAATTTGGTTAGCGAAAGCATACTTGGGGGATTTGAAAATGGCCCACCCGTTTAAGTTTTCGCGCCTTTAACAGACCCAGTCCAGTGTTGACATTCCATAATTGACATATTACCAAAATACTTGTAATCAAAGAGCAGGTCTTTTTAAACTATATACTTAATTACCTGTAATAAAATAACGGGACTTTCTAAACTATATACTTAATTACCTGTAATAAAACAACAGGTCTTTCTAAACTATACACTTAATTACCTGTAATAAAACAACAGGACTTTCTAAACTATATACTTAATTATCTGTAATAAAATAACGGGACTTTTAAACTATATACTTATTACCTGTAATAAAACAACAGGACTTTCTAAACTATATACTTAATTACCTGTAATAAAATAACGGGACTTTTAAACTATATACTTAATTATCTGTAATAAAACAACAGGACTTTCTAAACTATATACTTAATTACCTGTAATAAAACAACAGGACTTTCTAAACTATATACTTAATTATCTGTAATAAAATAACGGGACTTTTAAACTATATACCTTATTATCTGTAGTAAAACAACAGGAATTTCTAAACTACGAGTATATACTTAATTACCTTCATCAAAAACTGGACTTTCTATACCATATACCTAATTACCTGTAATCAAAGAACAGGTCTTTCTAAATTGTATGCCTAATTACCTGTAATCAGAAACTGACTTTCTTTCTGTACCATATACCTAATTACCTGTAATAAAAGAACAGGACTTTCTAAATTGTATGCCTAATT